TCTTCCCTTGTAAAGATCATAGGGGGTCTTGTTCAACTTTAGTTTGACATATGCTCTATTGATGATGTAGCCCACAATGTACTCATAGCATCTGCCTAGAAGACTTGAGATACTCCATTATCATTGAGCATTGCTTTAGCCATTTTAGTGAGCACTCAGTTCTTCCTTTCAACTACACCATGTTGTGGTGTTCTCGGGGCTGAGAAGTTGTGGTTGATTCCATTATCTTCACAAAAATCCATGAATTTTCTCTTTTCAAATTCTCCTCCATTATCAAACCTAATTAACATAATAGAATACCATTATCATTTTGGACCTTCTTGGCAAAAGTACTAAATGCATAAAAGATTTCATCTTTAGAACCAAGGAAGGAAGTTGTAATGACCTTTGTCATTAAACCCTAATTAATTCCATTAACCAACAATTTTAAATGAAAGGATCAACCATTGCTTTAATGTTTAATAAATATAAATAGAAAGGTCACACTTAAAATTAGGATCCTATATATATTTAAAGAGATAAATAATATTTTTTTAGAAATAGAGTATTTTAGAATATGCAAAAACATGGAATATACACTTAGCATTAAGAAAAAGACATCAAAGGATAGAATAGTCATCTTGGAAACTTACAATAGCTTGCCATGACCAACTATGAATTAACACACTTACTGCGGTGCAAGTTACCATAACCTACTCGCCTCAACTAACCACTATACTCGTGATTAACGTGCATCAAGCACTTGCTACAGCCAGAATTGTTGTCTGCCACGGCAAACCTTGCGTTAACAACATGTAAAAAGTAATTTCAACCTTACATAACTAATCACTCGAATCCCCAATTAGGGCAATCTAAGATTCTAAAGGTAGACAAATTAAATATCTAACTGCTAACTCAATCCAATATGCAATGAGAATCCTAGAACATTGAGTGCCAATATGAGCATCCAAGTCCCTTGCACACATACAAGTGTCTCCCCCTAAACATTAATTCATAATATAGGCTCATTTGCAATAACAAACATGCATAAGAATAATCATCAAATAGACATTCAAGCATAAGATTAACCAACTAAAATTAACATTAAGCTTAACTAATGGGTAAAAACGATCTAATCTATCAATAAGTTCATAGTTTCTCAATATCTAAAGAGAATCAACTACACATACTTCTAAAAATAGCAAAACTCAATAGATAGTACATCAAAACAAAGAAGGAAAACTTAATTGGAGTGATTTTAGATGAAAATCACTAATATCCCATGAAACCCAAGCTCATTCACCTCATCTATGGCATTTTCCTCTCTTCCCTAGTCAATTCCTAGTTGTTGGAGTCAAGCAAAGTCGAAGAATGACGAGCCAAAACATTCAGAACCCTAAAAATATTAGTTTTGATGAAGATGTGCATTTCATTAATTGCTCATGCTGCGACAGCACAAACCACTTTGTCATTGTCACTATGCATTATGCTATAGCGTAATTTAGAGATGTAGTGTAAATTATGCCTTTTCTTTATCTTTAATCTTTGCTTTCATATAGCATTTTAACTTTTAATTTGGATAACCCTACACATGATATAACATCATTAATGCAATCTTAGCTCAAATAATTCATTCATTTCAATAAGATACTACCAATTATCCCTTCTCATATTCAAAAGAACTTTTCTTTCCTTTTTCTCAAAAAATAGTCTCATTTTTCTCAAAAATACTTAGATGATTTCAAATTAAACACAAATTTCCTAATAACACACAAAAATATTTGGAGTGATAAGCATCTCACCAAATCTACTTGTATCACCAAGACATATGCATGGTGTCCTATGATATAATTAGAGGCCAAATTGTTGACCATATGAATAGAAAAAATAAACATTTTTTGTAAATGAATATTGTTCTTTTCTTTTTGCAAATCCTCCCATGCCTATGAGCTCCTCCTTTTATATTACTTCACTATGTCCAGAACTTTGTATGCTTGTTTGGTTTTGTTCAAGCATAATTCAAGTTAATGTTTTTATTGTTTTGGTTGTTTGAACATTTCTAGATTTATATTTTGGTTTGGCTTTTGAAAGTGCAAAGGTGCCTCAAGGAAGTTATTTATTTTAGCTTTTCATTATTGAATATTTTGAATTTTATCATTTAATTTGTGATTCATCAATGTATTTTATGCTTGTAATTTACTTTTTTAAAAAATTGTAATTTTAAGTTTAATATTTTTTCTTAAAAGTATCAAATTAGTCACAAAAATATATACAAGAAAACCCATAGTCATTTTTATCATTATACATTTCAATTGACTTTTAAATCAAATCATCAAAATAAATTTTAGTTTGTCACTTTTAAAACAAGTATCTAAACATAAATCATATTATAGTCATTGACTTTTCGCTTAACCTTAATTGTGAATTTTTTAAATTCAAATATGCACCAAATAGTGCATGAATTGCATAAAGAACTAGGGTTGTGCACAAAACTCGATAGTCAAGGAAACTAGGTCCAACTCAAATAAACCTAGTCTAACTAAAAATTAGATCAACCAAACCAGGTTGACTAGTTGGGCTAGATCGATTTCTAGGCTAAGCCATCAGACAACTTAGCCAGGTCTAACCCGAGGCAATATATATTACATATTTTATTTTATATATGAATATATACTATATTGGGGTTAATTGGCGTCAATCACTCCCTCCTTGACTTCAAAGTTGAATTGTCAAAACAACCCCCAAGTTTCCTCCCTTTGGTTACCCAAGTTAATTGTTGGTGCCCTAACCATCATCGGCATTACTAGTTCTCATCGTTCGTCAACCCATCTATTTCTCTCGTTCTTGAGTCCATCATTTGCCTTTAAAGTTTAGATCATTCACCGTAGTTGCACTCTGCCTTTATGATGACTTCCAATATTTTACTAAATTTATTGATGTTTTAATGCAACTGAAAGTCATTTCTTTGAATTTATTAGGAAAAGTATGATTAAGAGGATGATTATATGTGAAATAGACATGAAAATATGATTAGAAGTTGGTTGACAAATCCTAGCATTAATTTTGGGTTTTATATATGTAGGGAGGCCCAATTTATGGGGCCAAATATGAAAATTTTGAAGCCTAAGTCTAAGAAGTAAATTTGAAAAAGAAAAATTTACACAAGTCATTTTACTACAGTGAAATGCAATTTTAGTAAAATGTATAGTTTTAATCTTCAACAAGTTTTTAAGGTTGGAGGACCTCATTTCGAGCATTCCTAACTTCCAATAGTGGTAGCACATCTAGGGAGAGGAAAAAGAATCAAAGGAGGTTGGAAAAGTTTGGATTTAGTAAAAAATCAAGGACAAGATTGCTTCGATTAAGTTTTTCTTCTCCTTCTTCTCTTTATTATGCTATATATATTGCTAATTTTTGCTATTATAGAGTCATGTGTGGCTAATTTTCTCTTAATCTAGGGTAGTTATGAACTGATTCTTGGATTAGAGCATGTTTGAACCATTTATTTAAGTTTAATATTAGTTTTGTTTACCTATCTTGTGCTTATTTGTTTGCTTGATGCTTAGCCACCATTGAATATGAATTTTGGGGTTTAGATTTTACCTTGGAAGGGGAAAATAAAATCTAAATTAGATCATTATATTGAGTAACGTGAGATTAGAATTATTTCTAATTTGTCAATAGGATATGGATATACCCATTGAACCTATATAATCACATTAAAGTGAGTTAGTGACTTTTTGCCTTTGAGTATTTATATTAGGAATAGCATATTAATTCAAGAGATGGATGTAATTAATCGAAGATAATTATTCCTATTAATACTCTAGATTAATAAATTAATATGAAGTGAATTTATTTGGGTAATTACATACTTTATGAATTGAAGAAGGGATTAACCATCCTAGGTTATTTTGATTATTTGTGATTGTTGGAATTTTAATTTTAGTGCATTTTTATAATTTTTATTTTTATTTTGCAATATTAAATCTAAATTTTGTTTTCCTCAACTTAAATAAAAATAAAAATTTTATTACCTAATTACTATTTTACTTAATTTTTAGTGAGACCAATCTTGACATCCTAATATATTATATATTGACCCGTAGCTTATAATAAAACATTTTCATGTGCATCACTTTGCAAATACACTCTTCACTTTGCTTCCGCCCCACCCTCGGCGCTATCAATGGTTTCATCTAGCTTCATCCCTTTCTCTCCTCTATCTTCTAGCCTGGTCGACGTTCCTTTGTAGCCGTAAGTTGCAGATCTGCTCTTGGCTTTCTCCATTGATGGGTGCATATAAAAGAAAGTGTTTCAAGGTTTTCATATTTGGGTTTTTCTTTTGTGGCTCTTAATTACGATGTGGATTGGTTTTGATATTTTTTTTAAGATTTGAGTTTGCACATTGCTATGATTTCTCTCCTTCTTCCTCCTATTTCATCTTTCATCTTTAACCTGTAATATTTTTTTTAGTTTTTTGTTGAGTTTTCAGGTGGACTTTCTATCTTGTTCAAAAAAAAAAAAAGGTGCCCCAATATTTTGGATTCTTCATCAGCCACAACAACAACAAAATTACACTCCCATGACTTGTCCAATAACCAAATGGATTAAGTTTAGCTCTGTCTGGATATCAAGTTTTTTTTTCTATTACACTCTATCCTGAAGCATTTGAGTATGTTGGGTTCATTGTCCACTCAATCCACTTCAGACTAATTTAAATCCCCACTTAAATGAGGTCTTCTTCAAAAGAGATTTGCAGATACCATTGGCGAGACATATTTTGTATGCTCAACTAGGCTGCTGCATAATATGAGACTCAAACTTGATATCTCAAATTAAGTTGTCCAGGTTTCTAAATCCAAGTTTAACTAAATTGGACCAATTTAAGGGTCCAAAAACTTAAGCCGATCATCTTTCTGACCAGACCTTAGGTTGAAGGCTACCTCGGTCTTACCCTCTTACCCGGTTTTTGTGCAACCCTAAAGAACGTAAGTTCTGTTTGGATAAGTACAGGCTGGCCAACACAATATTCTGTAAAACGCCGTTGCTGCTCAGAACGGAGTCCTGCTAGAAGCGCCTGGACCCTGCTTCTGCGTTCTCATGTGGCTGTTGCATCGTTCATGTTGCCATCAGAATTTCTCAACTCCCAGAAATAACCCTCGCGTATCTCAGATCTGGCCTTCCTTCTTTTGTTGCGGCGTCCCAAGTCTCTTGTCCGTCTCTTCTTTCGTGCGATCTTTCAGCCTTCCTTCTTCGTCTCATCTTGTGTTGCTCACTTGCTTCGATTTGCATTGCCATCTTATTTTGCTGCTCACCCAGTTCTTCGTCTCATCGGGTTCGACTGCTCACCTGGTTTCATCTTTTTCTCCCTATTCTTTCTAATTTGGGTGTTTGTACCCATTGAACGTGCATGCTGAACCCAAAGGAAGGTTGACATTCTTCAGGGTGCTATTGGAATTTTTTTTTTTCAAGAATTCGTAGTCGTTTTTTTTTTTGGATTGAATCTGCATGTGTGTGTGTTTGTGTGCGCGAGCGCATGAAATAATATATATGTCTTTCTTTGTTTGTTACCTCTTTGGGTGAGAGCATGTTGAAGGTGCTTCTTGCTTTGTTCTTGATGAAGAAGGAAGGCAATTGCGTAAACTGAATATATAAATGACTGGATAGAACATATATTGATTAATTGGTAAATGCTAAAGAAACTAATCAAAATATGCACCTGATTGAGCCAGTTGGTTTTTCCGGAATGATACTCTTCCCAGTGACCTTCGTATACTCATCAAACCAATCCTGCCAAGGCAATCGTTTATGTTTAATAATGCTATATAACTTTATAGTTAACAGAACTAAAAAAATGATTTTGATAATTAAATAGGGGAGGAGGACACGGCAGTAGCACTGGGGAAAGGTTCTATGTTTGTTTCTTCTAAGGAGAATTTTGTTAGATGTAGTAAATAAAAGGAGACAGTATATTCCTTGATGATTCTTGTACGAAGCAAATTCCTTATGTCAGAGATTTTGTTTTGTGTAGATTACATGCTGCCAATTCCTGTTACATGACAACAAAATAAAACCACAAACTTGTAACAGGTCTAATAGTTGGCTTTTGATGAAGCTCCATTGGAGTATTAGTAGGCCTTGCTTCCAACATCCCTGTCTCCTTTAGCAAGTTCAATGTATTTTTTGTTGTGACTCACTAATCCCTGCATGAGTTTGTGCCACTTCCATGCCCAAGAAATATCTCAATGGGCCGAGGTCTTTGATTTCACATTTAGTTACCAAGCTCTTTTTTAGCTTAGTGATCTCCACTGCATCATTGTCTGTCAACACTATATCATCAACATACACAATAAAAGCTGTTATTTTCTCTCTATAGTGTTTAACATACACTGTGTGATCTATCTGACACTGTATAACCCCAAGCCTTGATAGCTTGAGTGAACCTTTCAAAACAAGCTCTTGGGTATTGTTTCAGCCCATGTAAAGACTTGTAAAGACTGTAGACTTTATGAGAATTTTCTGAATTTCTCAACCCCAAGGGAACCTCCATGTAAACTGCTTCCTCAAGGTCACCATTTAAAGAGGCACTTTTAACATCTAGTTAATGAATAGGTCAATCTAAATTTTCAGCAAGACATAACAGAACCTTCATAGTATTTAGTTTAGCTACGGGAGCAAAAGTTTCATTTATTGCTCATAATCGATTTCCCTTTAGGTAGATCAGTAATTTTCCACGTTCTGTTCTTGTGTAGGGTCCTTAACTCTTCTATAGCTTGTTTCCACTTAGGGTCAGAAATAGCTTACTTGAAACTTTTGGGTATTCTTTCTTTTTCAACATTTGTCACTAGAAGTTTTCAGATGAGGAGAAAGTTTCTTGTATGACTATGACACATACCTTGCAATAGGATGCTTAGTGCAATTTCTCTTTCCCTTTCTTAGAGCAATCAGCCAATGTAAGTCTTCAAGACTTGCCTCAGGTATGGAATCATGGCTTTGCATTGCATTGGTAAAGTAATGGGTTCTTCTAAACAATGGTGCTGTCCAGTAGCACTGTTAGACTCCTTTACCCTAGTCTCAGACAAATCAGGATCAAAAGGTTCATTGAGAGGGTCAAATGGGTTAGCTTCTTGAGATTCAGATCTATGTTGGATATTTCCAGAATTTTTTGACTTTGATTCATGAGTTTTTGAACTGTTTTCTGAAGAGGAATCAATCTATTCAAAGCTTTTCTTAGGATTAATAGCAGGGCTGTTTGAGTCTGAGGAGAATGAATGAGTGATAGAAGTGTCTAGCGATATTGGGGGGCCATTATTTTGCTGGCCAGATTGGAAATTAGTAGTGTAATGATCATTCTCAGTATCACAAATTATCCATTCACTCTTATCAATGATCATTCTCAGTATCACAAATTATCCATTCACTCTTATCTATCTCCCCTTGAATGGGTGATTTTGGATAATAAGGTTGTCGGGTAAAAAATTTAACATTCATTCTAACATACACTTTGTTGGTAATAGGACAATAACACTTCTAACCCTTTTGAGTTGAAGAATATCTTAGAAAAATACACTTGATGGCTCTAGGTTCCATTTTTCCCCCACCATCTTTATAGACAAATGCTGTACACCCAAAAACCTTTTTTGGAATAGAGATAGTAAGTGGGGAAGAAGGATATGCTTCAAGAAATTTTTGAAGAGGTGTTTGAAAATTCAAGGTTTTAGAAGGCATTCGATTTATTAAGTAGAAGTAGGAATAGCATCCACCTAAATTTACTGGGAACATTACTACCAAACATGATAGCTCTAGCAACTTCAAGTACATGCCTATTTTACCTTTCGAACGCTCCATTTTGTTGAGGAGAATAAACACATGAAGTTTGAAGATGTATGCCATGTCCTTCTAGAAAAACTTTAAATTTTGAGTTCAAGTATTCTTTTCCATTATGACTTCAAAGAATTTTTATTGAAGTTTGGAATTGATTTTGAGCAAAAGTATAGAAGTTTTTGAAAATTGTGAACATGTATGATTTTTCTCTCATTAGAAAAACCCAAGTTAACTGAGGATGGTCATTAATAAAGGTTACAAACCATTTGGCCTTAGAATTTGTTTCAATTTTAGATTTTAGATGGACCCCATACATCACAATGAATGAGAGCAAAATGATGAGTTGGTATATAGGAATGAGAAGGTTAGGAATTGCGAACTTTTTTAGCAAATTGGGATACAAAAATTGCATATAATTGAGACTAGGGTGGCCTAATCTAGAGTGCCACTAACATAAGATCTTCAATATACATAGCAGAAAAAACAGCATGAGAACTATTTGGTGGAGATCCTTGGACGTAAAGAACCCATTCCATTCCTTAGCATTGCCAATCATCTTCCACAAGATCAAGTCCTGAAAATCACAACTACTTTTGTAAAAAATAACAAGACAATTTAATTGAGCCACTTTATGTCTCACGGACAACAAACTACTGAATATCTGGAACATATAAGGCATTTTTGTGCACAATGTTTTCAGAGATAACCATGGTTCTAGGGCCCATCACTTTAATATATTGCCTATTGGCTACTTCAACAGATTCATGCTCGGGATGATCAGAAAATTCAGAAATTAATTCTTTAAATCCTGTTATGTCACCAGAATCCACCACCCATATATTTGTGGGGTTAGCCATACCAGTAAGAACATAAGTGAGAGCTGTACCTGATTGTGCCAGAGTCATCTGCTAATGGTTTGGCTTATGTTGTGTTGGCTATACAAATTGATTGTGTGCATTGCGTAGCATAATGAGTAACAACAAGCCATATGCTGTATGGGATATAGGAAGGCTACTAAGATCGTTGTTGAATTATGCAAGAATGGCTTGGTTGTTTGGTCATGAGACAGATTTAGGATGGTAGTATGAAAATAATACTGTAGATGCTTTAGATGAGTGGTGAGAGAAAAAGCAATCGATATGAATTCATAAGTCATGAAGAGAAAAATGTAATTGAGCCTGAGGCTGATGATCTTGTGGATCAGTATTGATCGTCACCTTCAAGTATGACATCTTTGTCAAAGATAGATTGAGTTCATCATTCAAGAAGAGATCAAATTATAAAGTATATGCAAGGCAATTAATGATGTACTATTATAAAACTCATGATTAATTTTTTAATGTTGGAATTTTTCCTATTTTTAATTTCTTTTTCTATTTATATATTTTTATTTGCTAAATAGATCAAATTATATATGTTATGTAGTTTAATTATATGTGAAGTATTTACAGCCCGTTTGTTTAATATTAAAAAAATTAGTGATTTTCAGACAATTTGAAGATTTTATAAAAATATATTTATTTTATAAAAAGTAGACATTATTTTTTATGTTTGGTTACAATGATAAAAAAGTGATTATTAATTGTTATTTTTATTTTAAAATTTTATAATATCTTCCTCAATTTTTGTTTTGTAAAAATGATTTATTATTTAATTATTTTAAAGTTTTATGATGTTTTCTTATATCCCCCATTTTTAAAGAATTCTCTTGCATTTATCACATTGGATTATTTTTAAAAGTTACTCAAAATAGCTTATTAAAACAATCAGAAATCTACTTTTAAACAAGCATCATGAAAGCTTACAAAATAGATTTAAAAGAAAAGAGTGATTTTTTTTCCATAAAATAAGTTAAAATGAATGGGCCCTTGATTATAAAATTCATATCATTTTTAATAATTACACATCCAAAAGTGTTTTTGATTAAACACCATCCAAACATCTTCATTTCCTCAAAATCACTTTTGAAAAAAGCATCTAAACATAAATCTCATCACAACAAAAATCAATTTTATCTAAAATCAAGTTTGCAATTCATTTTTGCCCAAGCTCCATTTTGACTAACGCTAGTCCAAACACATGTAATGTGCTTCATGCTATGCTTCTTTTATTGTTCAGATCTCTTCACGTTTTGCAAGGAAACTTCTAGAGAGAAGTACAGAATTGGAGGCCATCAAATACATAGAGATGGGTTGCAGAAGTAGAGAATTCTTCTCAGACGACTCTTCTTCTTCATTGTGTGAGGCTTTGCTCTTTGCCACCATGTGCATCATTGGCCTTCCTGTTGACGTGCATGTTAAGAATGGTTCTGTCTATTCTGGAATCTTCCACACTGCTTCTGCTGACAAAGATTACAGTGAGTTTTTTGTTTTAGGTGCACTATCTAATTTTCTACTTATTAATTTCTTCCATTTTCTCCCTTGGAAACTCATATTCAGCTTTGAATTTTGTCGGAAGCTTGTATCAGTTTTTATGGAATGGGAAGTTCTGATGATCCTGCTTGTGTCTGGTTACTATCATATGATATTGTCTTTTGGGTGCTTGTTTTGTTTTTCCTGTTTTCTTAGCTTCTTTCCTGTTCCATAATCTGTTTACCAAAACGTGAATGGAGGATCTTGTGTAGATGGATTTTGGTTTCGGGCATCAAATGTGGGAGTGATATGATTGGTCACATAAAATTGGTTTTCTCTGCACTTTCTATAAATTTATTGCTAAATTAAATGAAGAAAGGAATTGAATTTAGAATTTGATTACGATACTTCTGTATTTTTGATTGTGTGCTTGTACTATTGGATCTGGGGGTTACTATTGAACTCCATGCGGATGGTTTCATTGTTTGTTGGAAACTTGAAAACATGTGAGTTAATCTCATATTTTTATATTTATAGATTACAGATAGACGCATTAAAATGAATGGTTAGAAAGATCTGGTTCGAATTACTATTACCAGCATTTTTTCTTATTGGAATGTTGTACTACTCGATGGCATTGTTTTGCTTCCTTTGATGTTCAGGTATCATTTTGAAGAAAGCAAGGATGATCAAGAAGGGAAAAGGTGATGAGAATGTGGGAAAGGAGGGGTTGATAGATACTCTAGTAATCCAATCAGATGACCTTGTGCAAGTTGTTGCTAAGGTTAGCCATTCTTGCTCTCTTAGTTTCTGACCTTTAGTTTTTTTTTTTTTTTTAATTTATGTGCCTAATGTAAATGTGTTTGTGTAGGGTGTAATGCTTCCTGCCGATGGTGTTAGTGGAAATATGACTGGTAACGATGAAGAGGCAGCTGAGCATACTGCTTCTAGTGTAGAGAAACCAGAAGGGTCTCTGATGGATGATAAAATGCAGGTTAATGAATCAAGGTACCTTACATTAAGTTCATTCACATGGATGATAGACATGCATTGAGTTAACTGAAGTTGATGGGTTGTGTGTTACATGCTATATTTTGTTTTTTTGCTTCTTGCCTTTAATGACTATGCACATCAACCTGACCAGCAAGGGACTTTCTACATATTCTTTTACTAGAATAATCAGATGCAGTTTTTATTTAATGTTCCTTGAAGATATGAATGATGGTTGGAAAATTTAAATGTTAGTTGATGGATTTCATTCAAACACTTGCTTGATTTTGTAGTTTGTTGAAATTACTGGATACTTGTTAAACTAGAAAAATTTGTGCAGCTTTTGCTGAACACTAATTTGATGACATCTGTGCAATGATCCTGAAGCCTCATGCCTATAACATTAGGAACATTGCAAAATAGTGGGCATATAAGGCATGAGTAGAATGCTGCTAGTGGCTTGGGCTTAAGCATTTCAGACCTTGCTGTTGGGCCTTTTCAAATTACTCCTTTCACAGCTTGTTGGAATGTCACAAATGGCATTAGAAAATTATTTTCTAATGCTTTGCTGGCAATTCTTGACGAGCAAAGTGGCAGTAGTGTGTCTGTGGTGGTCTTCATGTATGTATCATAGTCAGGGATGGTTACATCTTGTGTAGTCAGACCTTGCTGAGCTAATGGGGTGGATTAGGATGTCAAGAAATTTGGTGCTGAAGAACATGACACTTGAAAACAAAATAGGGGTTAATGTGACCCATGAAGTCATTTTGAAACCCAACAGAATAAAACCAGGAAATCAAGATTCCATGAAAGCTAAATCAGGATTTAATGCGAAGACATCTTTAACCAATGCTTTCTTAAAGAAGTTGAAACCAAAGATATCAATGAAGGACATCAATGCTATACTCTTGGAAGGGATGGGGATGAGAGTTGTTGGTCAGATTGGAATGTCGAAAGACATCAATGTTGATGAGTTTGCTGATTTCATTATAGAGCTGAAGTGAAGGCTGTTCATAAAATAATCAAAATTTTTAATCTAAAAATTCAAAGCTATGGGAACATGTCTATTTATAGGCTAATAAAAAACCCAAATGTGTTTATTTGGCCTATATACAATAGTCCAACTTATGAGTTGTGATCAACATCGTAGGACTTGCACGGCTATACTATGTGATTTGACAGCTTTAGTCACCCCATTCTTTTATGTTGCAGGGGCTAGGGCTTGATGTGTACCAAATTGAACCATGGCTTAGATACCATGAAGGAAAATGGCTGAGTTCTTAATGAGTTTTCTAAGTCTGTATGATTTATTAATGAAATTTGGTACATTGTTTGAGACAAGAAGCCTGTCTACTAGCTCTAGGCTTTTAAATTCTAGGTCAGATCTGACTAGATTCTCATAAAACAATTAATAATAATAATAATAACTGGGGGAACATGCTGGAACACTGCTGAAGGAGCTGAACTCCTTAGGTTGAGACAAGTGGTCATAACTCTGATAAAGTTTTTTTTTTTTTTTTGGTTCTAGAATATATTTGGATAAGTAATATGTCATTAGACATTTTATAAAAATCATGCTACCTGTGGATTGTAAGATTCAATTTTGATCAATATGAGACTTTGGCGTGTATGCTTCCTATTATAAAGTTAGTAACAACATTGATCCATTAGATTATTTCTTTTCGTATTTGGGCATGTGTCAACTGGTTTTATTGACAGACAGGATGGAGATGACATGTTGAAAGGGCAAACTGGTAATTGCAAACAGAAGTTTGGGTTTGCTGAAGAAAAAATTGTATGTCAACATGAGCCTAGCTTATACTTCTATATTGGATATCTTGTTTCCACACATTTGATGGGTTTTATTTTTGCCTATGCAATATGATTTTCTGCAGGTTGAAAAGGTTCAAGGCCATTCTTCGAGCCCTGAAAGTGAGTTGAATATTTATTATTTACACTACATGCAAAATTATATGAGACGACATCAATAAAAATAGATGTAACTAGTATAAGAATGCCTAGTGATCAAACAAAAGATTTTCCTATAAAGATTAGACTACATCAGGGATTATCTATGAGTCCTTATTTGTTCAACTTGATCTTAAATGTTTTGACGGAACATATTCAAGGGGAAATTCCGAAATGTATGCTTTTCGCGGATGATATAGTTCTTATAACAGAGACAAGAGAAGAGGTTAATTGCAAACTTGAGTTATGGAGGAGGACATTGGAGTCGAAAGGTTTTCGTCTGAGTAGAAGTAAGACGGAATATTTATATTGTAAATTTGGTAAAGGACTATTTGACAATAATTTAGAAGTGAAATTTTTATCGCACTGCTATCAGATCGGTAATATTATATAGTAGTGAATGCTGGGCTCTAACGGGACAGCAAGAGCATAAAGTTGGAGTAGCAGAGATGAGAATGTTACGATGGATGTGCGGACATACACGTAAAGATAAAATTTGAAATGAGCACATACGCGAAAAAGTGAGGGTGGCACCTATTGAGAAAAAAATGGTAGAAAATCGGTTGAGATGGTTTAGGCATGTACAAAGAAGACCAAGGGAGGCACCAGTGAGAAGAGTGGAACATATAACTTTGAGTCCGATTAAGAGGGTAGAGGAAGGTCTAAGAGAACACTCTTGGAAGTTATTGAACGCGATCTCTTAATTAATAATATTCCTAAAAGCTTGATAAATGATAGAGCACAATGGCGTCTTGCAATCCATGTAGCCGACCCCACCTAGTGGGATAAAGGCTTGTTGTTGTTGTTGTTGTTTGGTGTGGTACAATGGTACACAATATGCTGGTTTCCCTAAGAGATATTCTTGTGAGAAACAATTTGGTTCACTTCTTTCGCAATTTGTCTTTCATTTTTTTATTACGGATATGACTATAACAAGTTATGTGCATGTATCTCTCTCTCTCTCTCTGACAATACCAACTGCACTTCAACCAGGCCCACATAATTTAAGTCCCGGTTCATGGCATCTTATATTATTTAATTCTTCCGTCCTAGAATGAACATGAGGATAATGCTTTCTTAGTTCTGTTTTTCCTACTTATTTAATTCATTGCTATTTATGTTTCAGTGGATGCATGTCCTATGCAAGTAGGGTTTGCTGAACATGGACACGCATACATGACAGCTAAATCTTCTGGGAATGGGTCATACAGTGCTCCAGAATCTGTTAAAGCTAATGATCGATGTTGTGAGAAGTCTAATTTAGCCAACTTTGCTGCTACAGATGCCGCTAAAGTTGGGGATCATGCCTCAGAGTTGCATAATATTTCAGCAAAATCTGTACTAAGGAGTACAGAATCAATAAAGAACGCTAAGGTAAATAAGTCAATATGATTTCTACCTTTAACTGCTGCTTGAAAGTGATCCAATCCTGCTGTTCAACAAGTAAAAATGCTGAAATAATAACAATACAAGAGCCAACAGATAAAGGAAAATTCTGAGGTTTGATAATAATACTTCCAAAAGGCTAAATCAGTGTTACCAAGGCACTTCACTGATTTAGAACAAGCCCTATTCCCTGTTACAACTGAAATACTCAACCAGCCACTAAGGAACAAGAACACTGCAATGCTAACCAAGAATGTCCTTTGGTTTTCGATAGCCAGTCTTTCCTCTCACCAAAACACAAAATATGGCTTACCCTTCAAAATGAACTAACGACTACTATAACCCTAAAAGCAACCTGCACATTCCCCAATCTTACTTTCTGCTAAACAGGCCTACAACCCCCCAGAGTCAGCTCTAAGTCTGACTTCTCTTTCTCCTTAAGAGTAAGGAAAGTAAGGTCAATGTTCTGGCTCCCATAAAGTGGCTTGCCCTTTTCATGTTTCTTCCTAAACTTCCTCTTATAGGTCTGTGCAGCAATAGGGAAATCTATCAGAAAGGCTTCCCAAATTGGAGATGCAAGGTTTTATTGTGCATGCAAAAGACATCAAGTGCATTTCTTTTGTCATATCAACCAATAGATCATGAATAAGTTATTGGTACATCACCTAAGTTCTCAGTTATGCTATTCCTGGAGACTTTTGAATAAATGATCCATTGCCTTCTATTTTGATATTACAACATTTTTTAGTTAATGAAGTAATTTGTTTTTAAAAGTTGCAGTTTTTGGTGACGAAGTAGCACAACAGAATTTCTTGATGGAACTAATATGATGATTGTTTGCAGTTTGTCAATAAACTCTTAACTCTTTCCTTTATGGCATTCTTTTAGGAATTCAAGCTCAACCCAGATGCCAAAGTTTTCTCTCCGTCCTTTGTAAATCCTATTTCAGTTACTCCTACTGTGCCACCCGTACCAACAGTTGCGAACATGGCTTACCTACCAAATTCCTCTTCTGTTGTACCCATTGCTGCTATTCAATCAGAAGTTGGATTCAACACTCTTGTGTCTCGTCCTTCTTTGCCTGTTAAAGTTGCTCAGTATGGTAATTTGACAGCAGCAAATGGTGGCAGTGGCTCTCAATTCACCCAACCTGTATGTATTAAAAAACAGTCATTTCTTTCTCTAATGTTTATGTGCATGAAAATGTACTTGCAAGGGTATGTGATTTTCATGTCAAGTATTATAAATGCAGGTATGTTTAGAAATCATGTATTACTTATTGTTATTTTTCATCCTTATTTGGCTTCAGATTGTTGGACAGCTGACGCATCGTACACAACCTCTAAGATTTGCTGCACATTATAATCCTGTTTTGTCTGAACCAACTTATCTGCAACCTAGCTGTCCTGCTGTAAGTAGAAAAAGATTTTTATCTGCCATCTAACTTTGTTTCTTCCCCTGTTTACTCCTTCACTCAAGGCCATCTATATTAGTTTTTTGAACAATTGGCCGTTAACAAGATGTCGCATTTATATGTGCAGGTTGTGGTTGGGCGTTCAGGGCAGCTTGTCTATGTCCATCCTGTTACTCATGTAAGAAAGAATGATTGGATAACTACAACCCTTTTCAGTTGGGAAGTTTCTTCAATTTTTATTTTTTTGATGGAAGGAAGTTTCTTCAATTTAAATAACAAAGCTTAATTAAGTCAAGAAGATAAAAAGAAACATTAAGAAATTACAGAGTTATTAGAATACTATCAATAGTGATTGCACAAATATGAATTGTTTACGGGGTGGTTTTGTCAGGAAATGGTTGGATGTGTCTTGTTGGATGAAGATATAATGCTTTAGTTTGCCATCAATAAATCTATGTATCATATAAAATTCTAGGAGGCCACATTATTCATAGGGCTTGAATATTGTGGCTTCTCTAAAACTCTGTGAAGCATGGGGCCAGCATCTAGCTTAAACATTAAATTGGAAGAACTGTAATTTTTTTCCCTTTGGAATTGTTTGTTGTATTATTTAATAATCATCTGCTAATTTTAATTTTGTGCTTGAAGGATCTGGTCCATGGTGCTATGTCTATCTCACCTGTCTCACCACGCCCTTTGTTGAATATGAATCATGTTCAATTTCCTAAGCAACAAGGTAAAACATGATAGTTTTGTTCAATTAGAAAAATATATCTTTTACACCAAAAATAATCCAATTGCATTATCTTTATTATAGTTTTCATTATCATTGAAGAAATTGGTTGCTCAATTGATTTCTCAGCTTCAATTTTATTCTTAGGTTCAACTGATACATATAGGGAGAAACTAGGGTTTGTATCAATCAAACACCTTCTGAAAACCTAAATCCTAGATATCATATCACAAAAAATCTGATGCTAATTTGGAAAATAAATAAAATATATTAATTATAATGATGACTAATAACGTCTATTGTCCATGTTCATAATAGATTCAACAAAGTTTTACATTGGCTGTTGATGGCCTAATACAACCCTCCTCCTTTACCCGGGCTTGGGACTGGCTATAAACATAGGCGGAGTTGGGCATGTAAAGTGAGGGTAGCACCTATTGAGGAAAAAATGGTAGAAAATTGGTTGAAATGGTTTGGGCATGTACAAAGAAGATCAAGGGAGGCACCGGTGAGAAGAGTGGAACATATAACTTTGAGTCCGATTAAGAGGGGCAGAGGAAGGCCTAAGAGAACACTCTTAGAAGTTGTTGAACGCGATCTCTTAATTAATAATATTCCTAAAAGCTTGATAAATGATAGAGCACAATGGCATCTTGCAATCCATATAGCCGACCCCACCTAGTGGGATAAAGGCTTGTTGTTGTTGTTGTTGTTGTTGATGACTAATAAATCATAATGATCTCATTAAATGGGCTTGGGCCCCCTCTAACACTCCCTCTTGAGCTAGAGAATAGATACTCATCATTGCCAGCTTGTTTGTTAAGTTTTCAAACTTTGCCTTGGATAAAGCCTTGGTCAATGCATCTGCAATTTGTTTGTGTTGAGGTATGAGTAACATCAACAATCATACTCCCCATTTTCTTCTCCATAAGATGACTATCTATCTCAACTTGCTCTCTCCTGTCATGACGTACAGGATTCTTTACAATTTTGATTGTTGCTGTATTATCCCAAGAAAACCTTATCTTCAATGCATAGAATCTATCAAGCCACATTCGTTCACATATCCCTTGTGCAAGTGCTGTAAGCTCTGCTTCGGCACTACTTGATACAGCAGTTTGTTTCTTGATACAGTAGTTTGTTTCTTGATACAACAATTTGTTTCTTGCTTCAGCAGTACTTCCCCCCACGTGCAATAGCCTGTGGTGGATCTCTTGTTAACAGCAGATCTTGCCCAATCTGCATTAGAATAAATTTCAATTCCCTTTTGATTACCTTAATTGAAATAAAGACCTCTCCCAGGTGTAGCCTTCAGATAGTGCAATATTCTGTAAATTGCAGTCATATGCTCCTTATTTGGATTGCACCCAGCTGTATCCTTCAGATAGTCCAATTTCAGTACGTGCTGCTCTATAACCCAACAAGCCTGTCTTCTTCAACAAATCAAGAGTGTACTTCCTCTATGATACCACTATACCATGCTTGGATTAGGAAACTTCCATGCCTACAAAATATCAGAGATTTCCTAGGTCCTTGATTTCAAATTCAGTGGCTAGAATCTTCTTCAAGTTATTGAGTTCCCTTGTGTCACCTGTAATAATTATACCATCAACATAAAAAATCAAAATTGCAATTTTCCCATTACAATGCTTTACAAAGTGTGATCAGCATGGCATTGGCTGTATTCCTTCTACTTTATCACCTGGCAAACCTTTCAAACCAAGCTCGTGTAGATTGTTTGAGGCCATATAGTGACCTCTTCAATATACACACCTTGTTTTGATTATCAGTATCTCTGAATGAGGAATGTCCATATAAACTTCCTCTAGATCACTATTAAGGAAGGTGTTTTTGACTTCAAGTTGGTGTGGAGGACAGATCAAGGTTTGCTTCTAAAGAAAGCAAGACCTTGCTTGTGTTAAGCTTTGCTACAGGGGCAAATGTTTCTTGGTAATCAATCCCATATTGCTGAGTAAATCCTCTTGCAAACCAATCTAGCCTTATATTTATTGATGGACACATCAACATTGTATTTCTTTGTAAATATCCACCTACATTCCACTGTGGATTTCCCTTTTGAAAGTTTAACCAACTCCCAGGTTCCATTTTTATTTAGTCCCTGCATCTCCTCCTTAATTGCCAATCTCCATGCTGGATATTTCTTGTTTTCTTCAACATTCTTAGGTATATCAACTGAAACACTTGCTGTAAAAGCTCTCAAGGTAGGAGACAGTTTATCATAAGATGCAAAATTGCTAATAGGATGTTTGGTAGTGCAAGATCTTACCCCTTTCCTCAAAGCAATAGGCCAACCTAGGTCATCAATGGGAGGATTTGAGGTTCAGGACGATGATTGGCGTGATTTATCTTGGTTTGCTGTTCTTGGCTGCTGTTCTGGAACCTGTCTTTGCTGTTGTGCCACTGCAACAGGGTCTGTTGGACCTATTTCTGCATTCATGGAACCATGATTGTTATCCTTAAAACTCCTATTTGCATTAATCATACTGGTAGGACCATTTGCAGGTGTTTCAAGGGGGTGGTCCAGACTTGGCCAGAGGCTGAAAATAAGATGGTTGGATATGAGAAGGGTATGCTTGAGTTTGTGGCTGTGGAATTTCGAAAAATGGCCATTCCACATCTTCACTCTCCCCCTGAATGGGCATTTTTCATTAAAAGTGACATCATTTGAAACAATATATTTATGAGAAGTGGATGATTGCACTTTGTACCCTCTTTCAGTTTGAGAATAGCCAACAAAGATACATTTGGAAGCTTGGGCATTGAGTTTGGAAGGGCTAGGTATGGACATAGGCTGTGCACCCAAATATTATGAGCGGAAATGTGTGCAAAATTTGAGTGTTAGGGTAAGTTTCCAGAAGAACCTGTTGAGGTGTTTTAAAATGCAAGGTTCTGTATGGAGAGTGGTTGATCAAATATGTAGAGGTGAGGATAGCATCATCCCAAAAATAGCTAAGGGACATTGGTGGCAAGTAAGAGGGAATGAGTCATGTCAAGTATTTGGTGATTTTTGCTTTCGAAAACCCAATTCTACTGAGTAGTATATGCACAAGAGCTTTGGTGATGAATGCCATGGGAAGCTAGAAAATTTTCAAAACTAGTGCTGAAATAATCATTATCAGTTTGTAAAACCTGAATTTTGGCCTGAAATTGAGTTTGAATCATGGCATGGTATTTTTGAAAACCAAGGGAGCTTCAGATTTTTCTTTGAGAAGATATACTCAAGTTAAATGAGTGTGATCATCAATAAAAGTTATCAATAAAAGTGACAAACTAGCATGCTCCATTTGCGCCTTTTATTTTAGAGGGTCTCCAAACATCACTGAATTAAACTGAAAGGTTGGGAAGGTTTGTAGGGTCGAGAAGGATGGGAGAGTATGCGTAGCCATTGAACAAATTTCACAAGAAAAGTTTGAAACATCTTTCTTCACAACTTGAGGATAAAATTTCTTGAAATAGTCGGTAACTAGGATGACCAGAACAAAAATGTAAAAACGCTTTATTTCTCCAAAAATTGATTGAGCAGCTAAACCAGCTGATGTTGTGCTTGGATGAGTACTTGTTGCACATGCCGTCCTTGTTTGGTTGTTTGCCTTGAAAGTACTAAAGATTGCCCTCACGTTTACACTAGCCAATCATCTTCCCTGTCCTCACATCCTGAAAATAACAATCATTTGACCTAAAGTTAACATGAATCTTATTGCATATAGTGAGTTTTCCAATAGCAATCAGATTGCAAGCCAACATAGGAGCATATAGGACATTCTCCAATGTAACAGTTAGAGATAAGACAGCAGTTTCCCATTTTAGCAACTTCAACACATGAATCATCTGCAATTTTTACAATCCATTTCTCAACGCATGGTCTCAAGTCCGTAAACAATGAGATATCACACATGTCACGTGGTCTGTAGCCCCCAAATCCACCATCCACATATTCAAATCTTGATGAATAGAGGGGTCAGCAATGGAAATCATACCTGATTTTGTAGCCACTAAACCGTTGGCCATACATACTCTCTCTTGGAGACTTATCTCTTTCATGAGTGTTGAGTAGTTTCTGTAGCTGGTCGACTTGATCCCTTAACTGATTGAGATCAAGCTTTTGCTTATCATCAAGACTAGTAGAATAGCCCTTTGCTTTCTTTCTTCCCTTTTGGTTTATCTGGACACCCATGAATCTTCCAATAAGTATCCCGGGTATGTCCAGCTTGTTATAGTGATCACAGAATGGGCGACTCCCCTTTTTGCTTTGTTATTATTAGCGATGGTCCTCAGGCAGCCATGCCAAAACTTCAATAGGAAGAGGTGAATGAATACCCCCAGTAGTGCGTTTACAGCTCTCTTCTTGCTTGACCATTGAAAAAACTCCACGAATGGAAGGCAGCTGGGAGTGACTGAGAATTCTACTAATTCAAATTCAATGTGCGAACCAAAGAGGAATTTATAAACTCGTTCGGTTTCAAACAAATTTTTGATAATATCTAGCATCTTGATTGCAACAAGTTTTTCTATGAAATGACTCTCAACTGTATCACTTGAAAAAACGGTTAAATCTTAAATCTGGTTCCTACAGCTATTATAAAACACTTTAATCACACTGCCAATTAGTAAAACTAAATATTCTACTCCCATAAAAAGAAGACGAGTATAATTCCTTTTGGAGTAGGTGGTATTTTATAGTTTATAGTGTGTTAGTATAAAATACTTGGACACTGAGATATCTGGCTTATGTTGATAATTGTGTGATGTTCCTTTTGTACTGCACTCTAGCTGAAGAGGTTCCAAATTAAGTGCTTCTCACCCTTGCTAAAAATTTGAATTACATCTTCATATCATTGCAGGTCAATATATATATATATATATTTTTGCAATATCTTTCTACCCAGTTTTGCAGTGTTGTGTATGAAAGTAGTAGTTCTTGTAATTGTTTGAATTTCTCAAATTTAGAGGCCATGACTTTTAACTAGTTAAGTCATGTAGAAACTAATGCATTTTATGTGACTCAATTTTAGCATCCTTATTGGAAAACATAAATATCCATTTCATCTGCTCTAATTGTTCTATTTTTGAGGCAGGAGGCACAATGGGTCAAGTGATGCCGTTTTGTGTTCCGCCACCTGTCCTAGCAAATGGGCAGCAGCCCTGTTCACTACAAAACCACAATCCAGTTTTGCAACCTTCCCTTTATGCAACTCGACCGATTCCAGTTCTGGGACCGAACGGTTTCTACGGCACTAAATTTTGATCGAATTTTGCATTTTCTTCTGCTGTGTTACTGAGCCTATCCCTTCTACCTATTTGTTTCTTTTTACTTGTTCTTTGATTGGAGCTCTTTCATAGATTCAAATTTCTGTTCTTTCTACCACCTTATATAGTATCAAATTTTGTTCCCTTCTTTCCACCTCCTCTCTCTTCATTATAAGTGTACAGTTTGCTTGCTTTAGCCATATTATGAGATATCTTGTGAGAGGAATAGTTGTATTGAAGCCTGGATTAAAGGATGAGGTTTAATTTGTATTTTGGGAATTGAGTAAAGCTTCTTCCTTCAAGAGAGTCGACACAATTTTTGCCAATCAAATTTGAATGAGTCCTTTTTTGTTAAAAAAAAAAAATTGAATGAGTCCGCCTTAAACGAAAATGGTATATATTCTGCGGATTGATATTATTTTCATATTTGTTGATTCATACGAATTCATCATGGATAAGTTAACTGTTTATTACTTGGAGGCTTTATTTATGTTTTTCTTCTCATCTCATGCACCTTTTTATCCGTTGATTAAGTACTTTTTTATTCGAAATAGATTGATCATAAGTGCATGCATAACAAATGAACACCTGTTTAGATATTTAATTAGTTTTTGTATTGAATATTTGCTTGAAACATATTGAATGATTGGCCATGTTGCCATGAGACTTCCTTATCATTATCGAAATTTTTTTAATGTTAAGTGAATTTTGTCACAAAACTATAGTTTGTACTCACTTTTTCAAGCATTTCTGGGCTCTAATTTGATGGGAATACAAGATGTGATGGCTATTTTTTTTATCAACAAATGTGATGGCTATTGTTGCCTTTGTATATGTTTGGTTCTAAGTTCCCGAAATTTACCCTTTTCTCACAAGTAATTGAAAACAACAAATGGGACCCTCGTTTGTACAACTTTATATATATATATTTTTTAATAAGGTTTATGAATCTTCCTTTTAACTAGTAAGAGATTTTTGCCGTGTAATCTTGCACGGCAGACCCCAGAATAGGGACTCAGATTCTATATGCTAAGTCCTCCTCCTCTCGCGCCTCTGCTAAGGTGAAGGCAAGATCCAGATTTGAAGGTTTTGATTTTTATTTTATTTTTAATTAAAATAAAATTTATAAAAATTATAAAAAATTTTAATAAATTTGTTTATCATCAAGCAATTGGAGTAGTGTAAATTTAATTTAGATGGTCTAATTTAATATTATAAATTGTTGTAAATTGATTATCAAGATATACTATGGACATGGTTGATTTAATATTACTATTTTTATAATTTATATAAATTTTTATTTTTTTAAATACAATATTAAAATTAAAAAATAAAGATAATTTTCTACCATGAAATTTTCAAAAAATATTATTTTAAAAAAATTACAAGTGAAATCTTAAACCTGCGTCAATCTCTAATGGGAGAAAGAGAGAAAGAGAGAGGATTGGGTGAGGGAAAAATAAAATAATAAATTTAAAAATATGGAGGGATAAATAGAGTGTACAATATAGTGATGGAGAGACTGAAGACTGGGAGGACACGTCAACGGCAAAAGTAATAACTTGCTTAATTTGTTAAAAGCATATTATCCCATTCATTAAGTTCGGAAACATGCATTGACAACTTACAAACGGAATGCACGTGTGTGTTCGTATATAATCTGTTGGTCATTTCTTCATTATAATTTGTTGAATGCTCCTGCACTTTTTTTGTTTTTGATTCCATGTTTATTCTTAATTACTAATTACTTATATTTAATTTCCATCATCATGTTGATTTGAAACTTGGGATATTTGTTGACTCTAGATATTATCGTAACTACACAAGTCATCATTGAATCACATTTTTGTCGGTTTCAAATATTTTCATCTTATTGTCAAGGATGTACAAAACAGGTTTTTTTACTAAATAAGATAATAAAAAACTAGATTCTTTTTTATTTATTTATTTACAAAAGTTTAGATGGGTTGGATCTTAAGGGCTCATCAGGGTCATCTCAAGGAGCATTCATAAAGGTACTTACATATTATATACTAACAATATCCTCACATCAGTAGTGAGATTTAATTCTACAATTTTGTAGGTTATAAGCCACAAATTATTATCAACTAGACACTAACTCTAATGTGATGCAAGTGAAGTATATACTTGATAAAAATTCTCATTTTAATTAGAACAATAATAAAATCAACATCTAAATTGGCTAGTGAACAATCTCTTCATGTTTTTTTTTTTTTGCCAAGTGATCTCTGTATAGTTCTAACTTCTAATGCCATGCCAAAATGCACATAATGCAAAATAAAAATTTATGTTACAACTTAAAATAATTTTTGCCTCTACTTTTAAAAATAATAACTATATTAAATAATAACTTTAAAGATATAATAAACATGACGCAAAAATAAAATAGAGAAAATCACTTTACTTCATTCTTATCAAATGAGTGTTTGCGGAGCTCTAAACGAAACGAACACTTGGATACTTTCTAGCTTCTTACTGGGTCATGCATTGTCAAAATTTTAAGCCTATTAAACTGATAGAAATCCAATTAAAAATCGCTTAAAACTAAACTTGAATAATTATTATGCATAACAAAAAACATCTCCATATAAAAATGAAAATCTAAAAAAGAAAAAAATTGGGAAAGTAGCATCCAAGAACCATTATGTAAAATTTATATCACATAAGGACCAAATGATTTTATATTTGCTCTGCAATCCTCTGGTCCTTTTTTCATATTAATTTCATAAAGCAAAATGATGGAATTGCCCCTTAAATTAAAAAAAAAAAAAAGAAGCTCCCATCGTCACTGGTCATTGGACCATCGTTAGCGGCAAGGTCACTAGAGCCCTTGCTGTTAGCGCCAGTGACATTTTTTTTCAAAGATAATTGGTTTAGGGGCCAAGAGAGAGTTTGATCCCATAACTTTTGACCACCTAAAAAACATAGTGGACACTAGGCCACCAAATCATTTAACAACATATAGTAAAAAAAAATGTATAAGTAATAAACTAAGCTTCTAACCGCTTCCATATAATAACATAATAGTGTGTTATTAATTTCTGAATGAAATTTGTTATTTTACAAATGTTACTTGTAATTTGACATAGACAGTTACAATTGGAGGCTTTAAAACTTCACTCATTTTACTTATTAAACATCTTAATATATTATTGTCAATCACAAATAGATTGTTGTCAAAACCAAACAGATACTTTTTAATAAATGACTAACACATACAAATAAACCCTTCTTATTAATTTTTCTAACTTGTTAAAACCATAATTGTTATTTTACAAATGTTACTTATTAATCTGACAAAGACAATTACAAATTGTGGGCTTTAAACTTCACGCATTTTGCTTGTTAAACATCCCGATGTATTATTGTCAATCACAAATAAATTGTTGTCAAAACTAAATAGATATTTGTTAATGAATGACTAACATGTACAAATAAACATTTCCTATTAATTTTTCTAACTTGTTAAAATCACAATTAATTGTTGTTAATTTTAAATAAATTATTATTTTACAAATGTTACTTGTTAATCTAACATAGACAATTATAAACTAGGAGCTTTAAAACTTCACACATTTTAACAACAATATATTCATGATTGATTAACATTTGTAAAATAACAACAATCTATTATGGTTTTAACAAGTTATAAAAATTGATAGGAATGGTTTAGTTATACATATTAGTAATTCATTAACAAGTATCCGTTTGAATTTTGATAACAACTTATTGGTGATTGACAACAATACATTGAGATGTTTAACAAGTAAAATGCGTAAAGTTTTAAAACCCACAATTTATAATTGTCCATATCAGATTAATAAGTAATATATGTAAAATAACAACAATTCATTTGAAATTAACAACAATCTATTGTGGTTTTAATAAGTTAGAAAAATTGATAGCAAGGGTTTAGTTATACGTGTTAGTCATTCATTAACAAGTATCCGTTTGATTTTTACAACAATTTATTTATGATTGACAACAATACATTAGGACGTTTAATAAGTAAAATGCGTGAAGTTTTAAAACCCTCAATTTGTAATTATCTATGTCAGATTAACAAGTTACATTTATAAAATAACAACAATCTATTATGGTTTTAACAAGTTAGAAAAATTGATAGGAATGGTTTAATTGTACGTGTTAGTCATTTATTAACAAATATCCATTTGATTTTAACAACAATTTATTTGTGATTGATAACAATATATTGGGACATTTAACAAGTAAAATGCATAAAGTTTTAAAGCCCCCAATTTGTAATTGTCCATGTCAAATTAATAAGTAACATTTGTAAAATAATAAAAATCAATTATGGTATTAACAAGTTAGAAAAATTGATAGGAAGAATTTAGTTGTACGTGTTAGTCATTCATTAATAAGTATCTATTTAGTTTTGACAACAATTGTGAACACCGTATTTTGTCTGGACATTTTTTTTTAATAATCAAAAAATATAAAAAATATAAAAATGAAATTTAATCCTTTTTTAGGATTATATTTTCAAAAAAAAAATCTTGCTTAAATTTTTTAAAAATCTCTCTCAAATTATTCCAACTATTCAAATATATTGGAAATCAATTTTTTGAGACTCAACTATTTTTAAATTTCTCTCCTTAAATCTTTTGTTTTTCATTTAAAAAATATATGTTTTAAAATTAGACTTTTCTTTCTCTCCCTCAATCTAATTAAAAAAAAAAAAAAAAGGCATTAAAGAATGGCTGAAAAAAAAAGAAAAAAGAAGAAGGAACAAATACATGCAGCATCAGAATACATGAAATACACGTACACACACACACTTTCGACCATGCAGCAAGAAAAGAAGAAAACAACAGAAACAGCACACACGAAACAGAAAAGAAAATTGGAGAGCAGAAAAGCACAGCAGAAGGAGCAGCCACCATGATGTGCACATACACAGACTTATGTACGTAGAAGAAGAATAAACATGCACGCACAGATAATACACAAAACTAGAGCTACAGACAACACGAAGAGAGCAGACTTTTCAACCAAAGAGCATAGAAGAAAAGACCATGCGAAACACCAACGCAAAAATGCAGCACTCACACGCAAAAGAAAGAGAAACAGAGCAGAGAGCTTTTGGCTGAAAAGAAGGAGAAAAGAAGAAGCGGAGCAGGAGAGCAATGATTCACCTCTTCTATCCTCTATATAAGGTCGAATGTGAAACAAAGAGAGGGGCAATTTTGCTCGAGAAAAAGTGAGAAGAAACAGGGGCAGAAACGTAG